TATCATATTCCTTTGTTTTCATTTCGATAGTACGGAAGTTCCAGAAGGCACTGAAACTAATGTAATCCTACTGCTATTGATAAATTTCAGAAAGATTGTTGTAGCCTACTATCGAAATACTCAGTTGATTGCATAAAAGATTAATGTAAATAATTCTAATGTACCTATATACCCTAACTGGGAGTATCGTAAAAATCGAATATCTCCCTCCAGGCAAGCCAACAGCAGCTAATATTTTAACCTTGTTAGTTTGGCGGTGAGAGCTTTCTTTTGATGCAAAAATATCTGATCTTTTCAACTTACGACACAAACACCACCATTGTAAGACAACCTCCCCATGATATAAAAAACTCTTGATTACTGTAAAAATTTATTCTAAAAATACAAGAAAAACTCGTCACGATTCGTCCATAAGTGCTCTCCAACCGAAATAACCTGCTTCTCAAGTACAATTCGATGAGCTCTATCCAACGATATGTTCAGATTTTTCATAGCTCAAACTAAATTTTTTCGGACCACAGATGTGGTTATGAGAATCCTGAAAAAAAAAATACTTTGCATAGTTTGTGCTATAAGAAATTTGAGTACATGGTTGAATAGAGCACATCGAGTTGTACTTGAAGAGCAAGTTATCTCGATTGGAGAGCACTCATAGACGAATCGCGACGAGCTTTTCTTAGATTTTTAGAACAGCTTTTACAGTAATTAGGGGTTTTCTATATGATGGGGAGGTCGTCTTATGAAAATAACTAGTGGAGTCGATAGAGCTCGTCGAGTTCTATTTGGAGAGCTCTTTATGGCGAATGCATTCAATAAAAATCGAATCCAAATCTAAGATATCTTACGTGGCATTTGCCAACCTTCCGTTACAGATCTCTCACATTACCAACAGTAATAACTGTGCGCAACAGACTAAATTGAGATTGTTAAATAGAAGAAAAATAAAAAAAGCTTTTCCATCGAATGAATAGTAACAATCCAACGAAATTGAGCGTGCCCAATGGAAAAGAAAACTTGTAGGTTTTGAGTAAAGGAGAACACAGTCTCGCTTCACCAATTATGTATTTGCCAAAGCATCCAGTCTGCATGACTCTATTGGCTTTACGTATTATGTATTACTACTAGGTCAGATTTTAAGATATATGTG